ATAATTTTTTTATACCATCTTTTTATATAACATTCACATATCATTAAATGAGTGAATGTATTTAATATCACGGGTCTCACATGAATTAAAAGAATCAATCATTTTAATGATATGTCAGTTTGTACAAAAAAAATTGGATACAAAAATTGTACAAAAATCATTTCTCATATTTAAAATAACATTCTATTATATTATTATTGCAAGATTTTATTATGAATTTTTCATTTTATAGTAAATAGGAACTTCAGGTAAAGAGAGCAACTCATAATATCACAAAACAAGAGATTCATTTTTATTTAATAGTTTACATTATATAATTAGATATTATTTGGATTACATAGTATTTTTTATTTCATTAATATATTATAATAAAATATTATGTATAAATCAATTTTCTTAGTAATAAAATCAACTTTTCAAGACTTATTTTGAGAGTACTAACTGGTAATTATAGTTGTTAATTACACTAAGAAACACTTCTAAAGAAGGCTAGACATAAACTAGGGACACAAAGAAAAAAAACAGAAGAATGGGGCCGAGGGGACGACGGCCGAAAAGAAAAAATGACGTCAAGGGACAAAATGACAAAATCAAGAATATCCTTTACGTTTCACGGAGGCAGACCCAAATTGGCCTCTCATATTCCGTGTTATCGCCGAAAGGAGATGCTGAGACCTGAGAGGATAGGTGAGAGAAAGCAGCCAGCGCCCTGGCGGTTTGGAACTTTGGATTCGTCCAGAATACATTCGTGGAATTAATCAGAAGCCAACATCAGTGCTAACGTCTGGAGCCTACTACACAGGATGCCATCTTTCTAAAATTTAAAGAAGAAGATTTGGCTTTAGCTTTTCACTTTTGGGATATGGAAGGAACCGGATACCTGGTGCCGTCTATGCCCATAAACCAATATGAACCAAACCCAAACATTGACCCATGAGCTGAAATTGAGGCATAAAGGCTAGACGAAAATATATATTATTATTATTTATTTATTTTTTGAGTGTACAAGTCATGGGTAATTTAATTATTAAACTCAAAAGGATCCAAGATGGAGATTGTTAATATTTATCCCATTGACTCTTTCAAAAGGAGACCTCGTTTTTTTCCTTATGTAAAATGAGCAAAATATAATGGTTTTTTTATTTAAAGGTTGGGGTATTATTGACTCAATATCTTTGTATTATGAGATTGATCTTTTTTTAACTCGATCAAAGACAATATTTGGTATAGTAGGTATTTAGATCAAACAAAGCACACTTTTTTGGGTAAACTTTTTCCTTCTCTTTGTTATATACATATATATATATGTATACATATGCAAGATAAAGATTCATCTCTTGACTAAGAAAGCTCCAAAAAATATAACCTTAATTTAAAATATAAGCAACAAATTAACTTGCTTCTCAATTAAGATAACCCTTTTGAGTCTTTGGTAAGTTTTCCCTTTTTCCCTTGTAGTGTGTATGTTCGTTGGGACTTGGGAGTACCTTTTCGGCTTGCTACAGACTGGTTGTATTTGTACTTTGTCAAACTCTGGCGGCAGCCTCCGTGTCCATGTCCATACAGGAAATCTAAAAAGATATGGCATTTTTGTACTCAGAAAATGAAATTTGTGGGGAAGATATTTTGCCATCTTTTTTCTTCTTTTTTTTTTGGTCTTAATGTTTGACGTTTATTATTATTGGCCAAAAGTGCGCCGTTGAAAGTCTGTCGCTTTTGCCTCGGCCAATTATCAGCAACCCAATGTTCACACTTTGGAAAT